CCACCTCCTCCACAGCCCTCAAAGGCAAACTATAAAGCTGTGTGCAAAGCCAGACAATCTGGGCACCCAGCCATAAACCATCACTGCTGCAGCACAGATAACTGTTCTCGCTCTCAGCCATCCTTGGCTGCAAACCCACGGGGAAGAGCTCCAGAAACCAGACCTCAGGACCGTCAGGGCTTCTAATATTTTATGAACTTGAATTACAACTACGTTCGAGACCTCAGTGCTGAAAAAATTACAGCGCTGATTCACACCCGGGGTTGAGACCAAAACTCACTCGGATTTGCCTGGTACCCTGCACCTTGAGATGCAAGAACAGCCAGTTATTTTACAGCTGCCTTCAGTGATAGAAGCCTTGTACTGGGAGAAGGAGAGAGACATGCTAGTCTCTTCAAAAAAACAGACAAAAGAATCAGATGCATATTTTAGAGTAGGGCTGCATTTTCCACCATCTTTGACATGACCTCAAAGAGCACAGGGACTGTTCTGTGCCAGAGTAGGCAGTTTGTTTGTGATCAAATCCAGACATTTGAGATTTTAAAACGTATTAGTGACAAGGTAGGAAGGAGCACAAATGAAGTTTTGGAAAACACAGTTGTAAATGTATTTGGAAATCCACAGTGAAGTTAACCATGATTAAGCAATGATAAAATAAGCTTAAGTACATCTTCTGGTATTTAAAATGTACAACTTAGCAATGCTTTTGGTTGACAATTTTCCTAACTAGCACAGATTCCTAAACGGAGATCAAATAATACTTTGATTCCTCTGCTTTCATACATTAAGAATAACCATCCTTCATTTTACCAACAGCATTTGCCAGCGAAGAGACGGCACAGAGCACATAGATCATTTAGTAATGCAATCTACTGTCACTTCTAGATCATCTCCCCATTCAATAAAGTATACTTCCCCTCTAAACACTATTTGCCCTGGCTGATATCTTCTTAATACAGCTGAAAACCTCAAGCCATTATCACTAGAAGGCATCAGCTGATCCTAAATTGGCTAGACTGCAGCGTCACAGGCATTTAAGAGGTTTCCTTATCATTCATCTTTAATACTGAGGGATCGACACACTCCTACCTGCAGCTTCTAGGCCAAGGGAAACCTTCTAATGGTATTATCATTATCTTGTAATCTGAATTTTAAACAATTAAAACAATAGCACTTTTGTGTTGCAGGTCTCTACTGTTAGGAAGATGATACATTTTTTATCAGTTGTAATGTTCAAAGGCTTACATAAAACACTGATTTTTAAAAAAAAAAAGCAGAAATAGGCACTCTGCATTGAAACTGGTGAACCTTCTAGGAGAAGCAGCATTGTAACAAGGCACACTTAAATTTAAGTCATTAAGAGAGACTGTTTTGTTTTATTCAGGAAAGGTTTGGTCATTTTATTTTAAATCCGCAGTTCTTTTAGTCAATAGGATCTGGCAATTCTTTCCAAATGAAAGCCTCCTTTTACTGAAGCAGGGGATGGCTCCTCCCCTGACCTCCTCCTTCAGCTTGTTTTGGAAAGGGGCCAGATGACAGCATTTGGAAAAGCGCATGTTTATCTCGGCGAGGCCAGCTGCTAAGTTAACATATTACCCGTTCCCACATCCCCCGCTCTTGGTTAAGTCTTCACAGCTAAAACTGAAAGTAAACGCTGCCATTGGGCTTTTAATAAATGCTAACACGAAAGAGAAAAGGAGTCTCCATGGCATGGAGCATTTGAGGGGCTGCAAAGGTCTAGGTCATTTTGAGTGAACAGCAGGCAGTAACTCTGTCAATAAAATTCCTGGCCTTTCTGAATGAAGTGAATGAAAAACTGAAAAATAAGCGGTTTTATTTCTAGATTAATTTAAAGCTATGCTGTCTTATAAGACTGCCACTCAGCAACAGTTTGCTCCACTACACAAGGAGATTATAAACCCTGCTTGACAAAACCTTTTACTTTATCTTGTTTTATTGTTAGTCCATACTTGGCAAAGGTATGGAACCTGGAAGCTTTGAGAACTTCCACAAAAAATCTTCAGATTAAAAGTAGTCTTACGGCCAATTACATTTTTCACATTTTAAGGAAATTCCATCTCATTATTTTTCAAAGTCTTCAAGCAAAAAGAGTACAGAATTACCTTACTTCCCTCAAACATCAGTGAAAGATTTCAACTTATCAAAAGCAGAGTGTGTTATCTTATTAGAAAAGCCAAATCCTGGAGAAGAAACCAGAAATAAAGGCGGAGGTGGGGTTTTCACTGACCCCAGCAAGGTCCAGCAGGCTTTGGAATGGGCAAACCCATCCACTCAGAGGTGGTCAGAGCCAGATTTTGGAGGAAGCCAAGATGCCAGGGCTGAGGATGAGCCCCCAAGTCCCCAAATGGTTTTTAGCCCAAGGGCAGTGTCCCAGAGCAAAGCCCACTCTGCTGTGGCCAGCGGGGAAATGGCACAGCCCAAGGCTGCCCACAAGGACATTCCCAGGGACTGACACCCTGCACCACCATGCTCCAAAATAATCCATGTGCTGCAAAGCTGGTCTACAGCACACACAAACCACCCGTGTCTAACACAACAGTTCTTAGTCTGATGGATACCAGACTTCAATCTGTCAATACGGAAATCCACACATAGAACGGGAACATTAAATATATTAATATATTATTATATATATCCTGCTGCAGTCCAGATGAACTTTCAATAAAAAGGTTTGTCCGTCTTATTATATATAATTATATATATAATATATATAATTATATATATAATATATATATAATTATATATATAATATTATATATATCCTGCTGCAGTCGAGATGAGCTCTCAATAAAAAGGTTTGTCTATCTTGTTTCTTTCATTGCTACAAACAAAACCATTAGACAAAAGTGCAAAATTCTGCCTAAAATAGAGCCATCCCTCTCGCCCCTGGAGCAAGTCCTGGCTGCAGCAGTTTTCCCTACGGCAGCACCTGTTCTCCGGGGACTGGACCGTAATGAACCTTCCTCATCTCAGGAAGCCAGGCAGATCACTTCCAGGCAGAAATGATCCGCTCCCCTTTGAAGATAAGGACAAAGCCACACAAGGCATTATTACACTTCTGCTGCTGCCCTTAAGCTCTCAATTTCCCTAAAAAAAGTTCAAATTAATCTGATTTACTACAGCTTTTTTTTTTTTTTTTCCCCACAGACTGTGAGTCTCGGGCTCGGAAGCAGCCAGGTTAGGTTATCCACCAGCAAGGCTTCTGCAATCCCAGCCAAAAAGCACCACAGTGCTCCCCAGAGCAGCTTCCTCACTGGGGTATCCAGGGCTGACACTGATGTTTTCACGTCTGGAAAGAATTCCAGAAGCCACAGCATCCGGGGGCTGTTGCTCAGCACACCATTTTGAGCTCACAAACAACACACAGGAGCAGGCAGGCAGACATCCCAGGGATTCCTGAACCCCAGGAACAGGGCTGCAGCAAGGAAATTCCGTGATATGCTAAGCACAGGTTGCACCCACTGCAAGTCACCTCCTATTTCCTTGGAAAACACCAGGGGAAGCAGTGAGAACCCGTGTGTACCTTCCCACTGCCTTCTCGAAATTATTATTTTTAAAAAATGTAATATCCGAGAGGAAACTCCTTTTAAATGCTCAGTCGTCGGGGAATCCAAAGGAAAAAAAAAAACCCAAAAAAAAGCCCAAAAAACCCCACCCACCGCCGGGAAGGAGGGCAGGATTTGGAAGCCATGCCTGGCTCTCCCAGCGCATCCAGCAGCAGTGCAGATGTTCTCCTGCTCCTCCGCTCTGGCATTGTCCTCAGGTCCACAGCACCACCGACACCCACCTGATTTAAAGCTCTGCACCACTAACAGCGGGATTTATTGGAATTTTAATTACCTTAACCGGCCTAATGTCCACAGCAAATTTCTGTACATAAATTAGCATAATTCGCCAGATACATACATATGCAAACGAGAAGGGAAAATATGCAACAGACACGGGTATGACGTCCCAAAGATTATTTCTAAATTTAAACTGGCTGTTAGAATAATTGAATAAATCTCTTCTCGCAGATACACTCGAGTTGTAGCAGAAAATAAACTAGTCACAAAGACCTGCAGTATTATTTTTAATGGGAAAAGAGGGGGGAAACCCAATTGAGTTCAATAAATCCCATAATTGAACCTTCAACTAATTACATATTAAGAAGATTAACCTTTGACACAAACTTGTGATACAAACAAAGAAGCCTCGAACAATTAATAAACTTCCAGCGTTTCAAGATTTCTCAGGTTAACAACTGAGCCCTTCCCATTTTCCTCCCCTCCTGCGTCGCAGTTAAAGGAATAAACTCAGTTTAATATTCTCTCTCCCCCTGGACATTCCAGGTTTAGACGAAGATCTCTCTGTGGATACTCAGGAGAAAATTACTGCGGATCCTCACAATCTCATTAGGCGGAGGGGAAAAAGAGGAAAAATAAACCAAAGCTGAACATTTTAACTTTTTAAGAGAAAGCAGCCATGAAGGACAAAGCTGGAGCTCATGTGCTCGCCCACAGGGCAGCACTGCTGGCCATGCCCACAATTTCCCAGCCCTGGGATCATTTCCAAGCCGCTCTGCGATAATTTTCACACGTGTAAGTTCTAAAAAGCAAGAGCACACGGTCGTGCCTTGCAGCAGAAGCTGCCTTCGTGTCATGTCTGAATGGCACAACATGCTCACAAATGGCACTTTCTGCTCGCTCTTCGTGGCCAAACAGCGATTCCGGACAGAGGAAAAATACCGAATTAATTCTACCATTAAAAAAAAATCCGGAGGTTGTTCGCGTTTTTTTAAAAATCGTATAAAAATAAAAGGGATTTTGAAATGTTTGGGGGTGTTCCTTGCTTCGCTGACTAATAAACAATTTAAAAATAATAATAATAATAATCTAGTTTAGATTTGTGAAAAAGGAGGAATGCACAGGTTTTGCAGGTCTCTTCCCCTGCTAACTTCTATCGTGCCCAGATTAAGAAAGGCTCTTACCCCTTCTTACCTTTTAGTCTTTTCTTTATGGGGCTCTTTGGCAGCTTTCGATTCAGTCTTGCTGTAAGGAAACAAGTGAGTATTTTGTCTACCGTGTAGGGGTCTTTCTGACGTGTTCCTTTCTTATCTTTAATGCTTCTCTTTTTTTTTTTAATTTTTTGTAAATGTACCCGTAATTTCACGAATATGAATACGAAAAAAATCTCACACGGCCAAAAAAAATAAGTTTTTTGTTGTTGTCGTCGTTTGTTTACCCCCCTCAGGGAAAAAAAAAAAAAGTCTGCCACACAGGAGATGAAAAAAAAACCCCAGCAGATCAACAGGAAAACACTATCCAAGTAGAAAAGCAAGGAGCTTCAGTGTTATCCAGCCCAGAGGAGAAGTGCAGCAAAAGCAGGTCCAATTCCAAAACAAGCTTTTGATTTCCAGTGAAGCAAAATAAAAAAATAAGAAAAAACAACAAAAAATAACCAAGACCAAGAAACCAAGACAAAATACACGTTCAAGTCCCCAGCTAAATTTCTGCACGAGTGTGTCTTAAATACAAGTTTGCTTTCATGTGTTGCAGCAAAACCCACGGAAAGCCAGGATTTGGAGTTGATCGGGATGAGTTCTGGTGTGTGTGTCTTGATGGGTTCTCAGTCCACATGGAGGAGCATCTGAGGGTTTTTCAAAAAGTGCAAATCAAAAAAAGAGAAACCGGGATCCAGAAAAAGAGTTTTAAGATGGATCCCCCCTTCAAAATAAAAGGAGGAGGGTGGTGGTGGAAAAAAAAAAAAACAAAAAGCCTCAAAGAGCAGGGCGGGAGGCACGGGGGGATGCGGAGCCTGGCATGGGGCTGCGGGCAGGAGGAGGATCCAGCGCTGTCCCCGCCGGGGGAGGAGGGTCCGCGGCTCCGCAGGGACCCCGCGGGCGATCCGGGCCGGGAGGAGGATCCAGCAGCCGCTCCCGCAGGAAGCGGCGAGCGCGGGGAGGGGGGACCCGGGGAGGAGGATCCAGCAAAGTCTTTTCACGGAGGGAGGAGGGAGCGGGGACTCGCAGCGGGCTCCGCGGGCAGGCGGGAGGGGGGCGATGCCGCGGCGCTCTCCGTGTCCTCCGCAGGGATCCGGCTGGGCAGCGGGGCGGCGTGTCCCCGGGGAGCCGCAGCAGCGCCTCGGGCAGGCTCGGTCGGTCCGCCGGGATGCAGAAGGGGGAGGGGGTGGTGGGGGGGGAACGCAGCGCCGCTCGCCGTCTCTCTCTCTCTCTCTCCCGCTCGCTCTCGCCTCGCAAAGGGCAGGCGGGTGCCGGGCTCAGTGCTGCCGGGACGATCCCCCGCTCCTCCGCGCCGCCGGTGCCGCCCTGGGGAGGCGAGGAGCCGCCGCTGCCGCCGCCGCTGCTGCTGCCGCCGCCGCGGCCATTTTGTCGCTGACTGACAGAGCCCCGCCAGGCAGCGCGAGACCGCGGGGCGGCTCCGCGCGCGCGCGCCCCCTTCCCGCGCCGGCCGCCAACGGCAGCTGCCGCGCGCTGCCCGCCCCGCCCCGCCCCCGGCCCCGCCCCCGGCCCGGCCCTCCGCCCCACGTGACGCGGATGCAAATGAGCGCGCCGGCCGCGGCCAAACGGGCGGCGAGGCCGACGCCTATGCAAATGAGCGCGCGCGCGCGCCGCGGGCCACGCCCCCCCCACCGCCTCCCTCCGCGCCGAGGCGCGCGCCCTCCCGCCACCGCCGCGCGCCCAGCCCGCGCCCCGCGGGGAGAGGGGGCGGAGAGCTCGGTCCTCCCCCCCAAAAAAAAATCAAAGGGGGACCCCTACACGGGAAAATGGGGGTCAAATCAAAGGGTACGGGGGGGAAAATCAAAGGGGTACACGGGGGTCACCCCCACCCGTGGGTGTCAAATCAAAGGGGTACGGGGGGACCCCCACACGGGAAAGTGGGGGTCAAATAACAGGGGTACAGGGGGTGTCAAATCAAAGGGGTGCAGGGAGGGTCACTCTCACGCGGGAAAGTGGGGGTCAAAGGGGTACAGAGATGTCACCCCCACCCGTGGGTGTCAAAGGGGTACGGGGGGATCAAATCAATGGGGTACAGGGATGTCACCCTCACCCGTGGGTGTCAAATCAAAGGGGTACAGCGGGGGTCACCCACACCCGGGAAAGTGGGTGTCAAATCAAAGGGGTACAGGGATGTCACCCCCACCCGGGAAACGGCATCAGTGCTTTCTCACACACACAGCGGTGGAAAAGGGGGTTAAACACATTCCTGCTGCACCCCGAGCTGCCGGGAGCCCCCCTCTTTGTGCCAGCTGTGAGCGCACACCTGCAGGGACACCCCTGGGTGACACTCCCGGGGTACCCATGCAGGGCTCTCGGCCCTCGGAGGGGATCCCCGTTCTACCCAGGCGCCTCCAAAAACAATCCCGGTGTTTGAAACGCGCCCGTGGCTGAGCAAGCCCGGGGAGCTGCGCAGGTCGGGGAGGGGAGATGGAAATGTCACATTTCAGAGTGGCAGCGGCTGGCTTGTCCCCCACAACAACCACATTAGCTGCTTCTGTCAGGAGAAAGTCAGGAGCTGGTCTCAAAATACCGCGGGAAGAGCGGAATGCAAAAAATTAGTCTTTTTTTTTTTTTTTTTTTTTTTTTTTTTTTTTTTTTTTTTTTTTTTTTTTTTTTTTTTTTAAAAATTGTTGTGTCTGGGTCTTTCCAGCAGATCTCCGGTTTTCTCTCCTCTCCTGTTTCCTCTCCCCACTTCTGCAGCGAACGTTTTGGGAAGTGCAAGGAAATCCAGAGCGTGGATTTTTATCCGCTGGGGCTGTTCCGCTGAAATCTGAGCGGAGCAGGGCTCACCGGGCAGGGCTGGTGATGCTGCCGGGGACGGGCACCCGCAGCGGGGCATTCGAGGGGACAGAAGCACGGTCCCGGTACGATTCCCGCTGGAATTTGTGATGCCAGCCCCAAAGCCACCCTGTGCCAGCCTCTGGGCAAACGACACCAGGAGCCCGGAGCCCCTTGACCACTGGAGGGAGCCCATATTGTGCCAGAATGCAACAGAAATACTGTGGGGAAGACAAAAAAAAAAAAAAAAAAAAAGCCACTAAAATATGAAATATCAGATCATTGTAGTCAGAACAAAGTGTCTTCTCCAGGTCAGACCGTGATCTATAGCAATGCAAAATGTTATAAAAATCAGATTTAAATGTCCCATTGTATTTCATCAGCACAAAGAAGAGAAAGAATTATTAAGAACAAGGCTCTTTTTTTTTTTTTCCCCATATTTTGAATGTCAGTCTGGCACCTTTCACCGGGAATGAATTCATACGCCAGGATGGTGACAGACCTGGCTTGGAGGGAAAATGCCCTTGTGTCATCCCAAGGGCCAGCTGAGCTTCCCCTCACTCTCCTTACTTAAATGTAGGTCAGCACCTATAGACTCCTTCCCAACCCACCCCGGAGCTGCAGCAGCTTTCCAAGGGGATTTTCCACTGCTGCTTTCCAAGGAGATTTTTTGCTCTCCTGATCAGCCAGCCACTCCAAGAAGCAGAACAGAAGAAGCCACATGCCATGCTTATGGCACTACAAGCACCTACAGGAGGCTGCCCTGCACCAAAACCTCTGCTTGGCAATTGTGCCAAGGAATGTTCCTGGTCTCCTACGTTACATGTTGTGAACATTGAAATATTTGTAATTCAAAACACATTTTTGCCACACAAATATTTCTGGCTTTGCAGAGTGGTGCCAAGTTGCTGGAGACCCTGAAATGTCAAAATGGAATAAAACTGAAAGTGATTTGTGTACTAATCTCTTTTCTTGGCCCTGGAGAAATTACTATCAAAAGCATGATATAACCACAGCCCCACAGACACAGAGAGCCTGTTGTGTTTGTCACCCCTGTCCCAAAATACTGTCTTTAACAGATAAAAACACATTCTACTAAACTTTTCCTGTCTTACCTGAGCTTTATTACCATTGAACACAGGGTCTTATCCAATGTAATTTTTATTTTTCCCCCTGCTTTGGTCTCCCACTGAGGTTTTGCCCTCCCACTCCCCTGGTTGTTCTCCTTGGGGGCTCGCACAGATCCTCAGCATCATCTGAGGCTCTGTCACCTGGTGTCAGCAGCTGGTGGCTGCTGTCACCACGCATGGTGCATCTGTCCCCTCATTGCCCTGAGCTGACAGGACCCTGGCAGGGCACGGGCTTCTCCTTGAGCTGTGTTCTTCCAGAGCTGCTCCAGCACAGAACCAGGGCTCCAGGCAGCTGCTGCTGCCTTGGAAGGCTCTCCTGCCCCCAGTGCTCAGGTAGTGGCTTTTGTCACACGTGAGTAAGAACAGATGTGAGCTGGTGTGAAGGGGAGGCAGAGGGACAGATGATGCCAGCGCATGAGTGCTCCCAGAGCAGGAGGAATTCCAGTGCTGCCTCGTAAACCTCCACTAACCCAGTCTGTCAGGGAAAAGCTGTGACCAAAGTGTCCCCAGGGTGTGTTAGGTGGGTGGCTTTGAGCACAAAGAGCCAGGCACTCACACAGATGCAGCGTTTGCTCTGCTGAGAGTGACAAAGCCCAGCTAAGCAAAGGTCTTCCCACGTTTAGGGCTGTGTTGGGTGGCTCAACCACACCCAGGCAAAATATTCCTCCAGCGTAGATTTTAGAGATGTCTCTTGCTTGGTTTTGTATCATCCAACCAAGCACAGAATTGTCACCAAGCACTCCTTGCACTTCTTACCCAGCAATAACAAGCACACAAAAAATTAAAGTCAAAGCCCTGCTCCAGTGACAAAAACAACAACCCCATTCCTTAAGGAGAATCCAGTCTCTGATGCTGAACAGGATTTCCCAGAGCCCACACAAAGTGAAGCTACAGCTCCAAGGCTCTCCCTTTCCTGAGGTGATGCTCAGAGGTTGGATGGGCAGGATCACTCAGGATCCAGGACACCACAGGCTCTTCTCAAGTTTTCCAAGGAAAATATGAATGTGCAAGCCATTTGTACAAAGTCCCTCTGAAGGGTACATCCACATCCCTCCTGGCCACCCAACCACAAATGGTGTCTTTAGGGTGAGCACTTAAATAGAATCATAGAATTGCTAAATTGGAAAAGACCTCAAAGGTCTTTGATTCAACCATTCATGAACTGTACTGAACTTGTACATAACTTTTTATTGGAAAAACTCACTTTCACAACTTACATCTCTTTCCCCACATTTTCTTCCCACTTGCTTGGACCATGCCCTGCTGTGACACCTCTACATCGGAGTGGTTTTGCCCAGCTATGAGATGTCCTCTCCATGGCACTGGCCCAAAGCAGAAAGGGCTCCTGAAAAAAAAAAACCTGATACCCCATGTTCCTCCTGATGCCTTGCAAAAACATTTCACATCAGCAAACCCACTGTGGTGATCATCATCACAGGAGTCTGGCAGTTCACCTTTTACCCTGCACTGGATGAGCTGGTTCTCTTTTTTTTTTGTGTGTAACAACCAAATACTTGAAACATTTGCCCAGAAAACACAACATCTGGATTCAATTCCCTCCCCAACCCGAGAGTCTCCAACCTGTATTTCCCACGAGACAGATGTAGCATGATGCTAAACAGCAATCTGGCAAGGGGGAAAACATGGTATTTTTTATTCTTGCTCTCCAAGCAGAGCTATTGTACAAACAGGAACACAAGTGTCCTGAGGCCAAAAAGCGAGCAAGAAGCACATGACTCCCTACCCTGCCTGCCACAGCAGCAGTGATAACACGTTCTGCTTATTATCAATAGCTGTTTTACAATAAATACATAATCTGCCCTGAACAGAGGGCTCAGAGCCCAAGATTTGCTTGCCCCATAGCTCACCCCATAGCTTATTTTGGGGAGAGGAAGCAATGGTTTAGAGGTTGGAACCTGTGAATGTGGCACTTGAGTCTATAGGCTGGAGGAATGTGCAAAGATGCAAATTTCCCGTTGTACTTCTGAGAACAAAATTATTGCCATTAATCAGCCTCTCCTCCTCTGTTTTTTAGGTCATCACTTATTGGTACAAGGGGGCTGGAACAAGCAGAGGGAAGACACAGAGTGTTCCAGCAGCACAGACAGTGCTCATCATCCAGGCACG